ATAGGTTGGCTTTTTCCTGGGTGTCAGTTGTCAGTTGCCCCATCTGGTTCAGCAGGGGTCCAATGTTGCCCTTGCTTTTCTCCCGACTCCCCACATATCTGAAAAAGGACTTTTTATTGTCCTTGATGCTCGAAGCTAGTTGGAGTTCAGTTGCAGCCTTGGCTTTCCTGGTTTGCTCCCTGCAGGACTAGACCAGTGCAGAATAATCCTCCTTGGAGATGAATCCCATCCTCCATCCTTTGCAGGCTTTTTTTTTTAGCCTCAGGAGGTCTGCGAGGTCCCTGGAAAGCCAGGGGGGCTGCTGTGCCCTCTTGCTGCCTTTCCTTTGAGATGGAATAGACTTAGCCTGTGCATTCAGTATTGCTCCCTTGAGGACCAAACACCCGTCTTGAACTGCCCTCTCCCTGGGGTCATGGTTCCTTAGGGCCTGATTGACAAGCATCCTGAGCTTGTCAAAATTGGCTTTTCTGAAGTCAAGGACTTCCGTGTTGCTGACTGACTTGCCAGCTTTACGGCGGATGGTGAAGGTGATCAGCTCATGTTTGCTGTCACTCAGCTTCCCATCGATCACCAGGTTGCTGAGCAGGTCATCCCCTGTAACCAGTACCAGGTGGAGCAGCACTTTGCCTCTCATTGGCCCATAGACTTCTTGAGTCAGGTAGAGGTCATCCACATACGAGAGGAAGCCTTGCGAGCACTCGGATTTTGCTGAGTGGTCCTCCCATGAGATGTCTGGGTAATTGAAGTCATATAAGTTCTTGGAAATAATAAAACATAATTTCAACACCAAAAAACTCATCAAGATCCTACAGACTGCATGCAGCAGCTCACTCACCCTCACCAACAGCTATGAGAGGGTTAACATTGGCTTCTGCCTTTGCTGCTTGCAACTGGAGGGCAAAGGAGCAGGCATTTTGGCAGCTATGAGTCATTGTGTCTGCTTGCCCTATTCCACTCTGCCTATTCCAGCAAAGAAAAATCAGCTTCCCTGCTTAAGACATGCACCCATTTTGGAGGGCTGATTTTGAAGAAAAAGTTGCATGTAATATGCGAGTTAATATCGTATTTATTACAGTGCATAAAAAAATGTGACTGGAAAACCTTTTTTAAAACAAACAGGAAAAAATTCATGAATAGTCATAATATAGTATTATAATTAATGAGACGCTTGAGCCTAATGGTTCTTGCAAATATCTATCAAGTGAAAGTCCATAGCTAAATAGCTTTCACTGCACTGCCTCAGCTAACCTATGGGGAGATGGCATGGCTGAGCCACCAACCTGGGTAAGTGAGGAAACGGGGCACATGCTGAAGCCTAAGTCAGTGCTGCTGTTCCAGGCAGGGAACCAAGGCGCACACACTTAGGAAATTAGCATAAAGTGTCACTGTTTTACATAAAGGCAAAAGCCACAATCTATTTTATTCAATAATTAAACTGGTTTCCAGTAACCCCAGATAATTGCACAGTTGCTATACCCAGTCTTATCTACCCAGTCACTATTAGCTGTTTTTAGGTCTTGTAGTAGCCACAGTTTTATAGCACACTGTATTTCCCTCTGCAGGGAACTGGGAGCCCACTGATGCTCCTGACTCTATGGCTGAAAGATTTTGAAAGATCTGGGACAAGCCTGGGGATAAACTTGATCCCAGCACCACTGCTGCTTCCCAGTGTGTCCTGGAAACAGAGATGCATGAGGCAGTTCCATATTGCTGGCACCCGGGAAAGGATCTTGCAGCAGCCTGGTGAAGAACCACAGATCTGGGGCCTCTCCCAAATCATTCCCTCTACTTGTACCCCCTGTTGGTTCTGTCATCCCTACTTAGAAAGCACTTTTTGTTTCCACAGAGACAGAATGCAACTGAAAATTTCATTTCTGCCTGAAAATGTTGAACCTGGAGACCACAAATGTTCCTCTTCTTAAAGCTGCTCACAACAAGAAAGTCTCCCTGAATCTTCTACTTTTATTTCATTGATGCTTGTATAGCACTTTTCCTCTAATGACTTTCACTACATCCCTAACCCTGGAAAAACATTTGTGCCTTACTCAGGTGATGAATCTCACAGACTTTAAAGGGACTAATATGGAAGTACTTTGTCAGGTGCACTGCTATGGCACTGACAGCATCAGATGGAGTAAGCTGTGTCCTACAAAAACGCATGCCTGTCTGAACAAGTGGTCTGTAGCCTGCCCTGCCTTCTGCCTAACTTCAGACTAACATGGCTAACTACCCACTTTGCATTCAGCACATCATCCTCAAGGCATCTGTGCTAATGGCACTGAGGGTTCATTATGGCCTTGAGTGCCAGTGAATCCTTCACAGTGCCTCCACATCTTCGTGATGTTCAAACATCACTGCATCTATATATGCAGTGAGGGGCTCACAGAAAGAGGCTTGATGTATGACTGAAGACAGGAAAGATAATGCAGTATGTAGAGAAACTAAACCTGATACAATGGTTTCTACCCAGCCAGTTGGCTCCTCAGAGTACTTCGTAATGCTGATGTGGGCTCTAGCACTGCACCACTGCTCACAGCAGTGGATGGAGTCCATTTCACTGAGCGTGGATGCACTTAACTGGGATGTCTCAGGGGAACTGACCCAATCCCAGTTGTACATTAGTAAGGTGCTGCTTCCTGGGGAAAGTTGCTCTGCTCCAGGGGAATGTTTTCAGGAGATGCGGTTGGTCTAAGGGCTGCAGACATCCAACGTCCTGCACACTCCGGTTGTCTGCTCCTACTACAGCAGCCCACCATTCAGGAGAGTCCCAAAGATTTCACCATTGCCTCCTCCCAGACACTGCAGGGCTTTTTAGAACAGTGGAATCAACAAGTTGGGAGGAACCTCCAGGGTCATCTCATCTAGATCTCTGCGCAGATGGAGGATTTCCTGTCCCTAAACCATCCTGCTGTCCAGAAGGTGTCTCCAGTTCATCAGGAACTCATCTGTGTGGAAGCCATACATCCCATTGAGAGAGGTTTCCTGCCCAACACCCATGCCCTTGACCAAGCCCCTCACTCTCAGCTCCTCCCAAAGGACCATCCCTAGGTGAGAATGCCCAGTAACAAGACAGCTCAGTGCACTTAGCCTTCAGGAAGCACCCAGCAGCTCCTTCGGCATCCTGCCCATGCTATCTGGCCCCTGGGCTCTCTGAGCCTTTCCCTGCTGCAGGATGGGGCTGTGCTCTCCTGTGCAATATCAGCATGCCCACAGTAGAGCAGACCTGCAGGATCAGTGGGAATTTGGGATGAGTCAAACAGACCTTACGATGGCAGGCTGAGAGCCATGGGGCTCTTTAGCTTGGAAAAGCACAGACTCAGGGGCGATCTGATGGCCACCTATAAGTTTATCAGGGGTGTTCACCAGTACCTGGGGGAACGTTTGTTCACCAGAGCACCCCATGGGATAACAAGGTTGAATAGTTATAAACTACCGCAAGACCTTTTCAGGCTGGACATAAGGAAGAATTTCTTTACTGCCCGAGGCCCCAAGGTCTGGAACAGCCTGCCATTGGAGGTGGTTCAAGCACCTACATTGAACACCTTCAAGAGCAAATAGGATGCTTATCTTGCTGGGATCCTATGACCCCAGCTGACTTCCTGTCCTTTGGGTGGGGGGCTGGACTCGATGATCTTCTGAGGTCCCTTCCACCCCTAATGTCTATGAAATCTATGAGTCTTGAAGAGGTGGCGGCATTCTGGGTTCCAGGTAAGCATGCTCAGCTACAAGGAAGCACTGTAGGACCCTTCCTGCCTGTGAAGATTCCTACCCATCCTCCTTTCCAAGGCAACCCTCGTCTGTCTAGTACAGTGCTTTTCAACCAATGTGCTGCGAAGAACTCCCAGGTGTGCCACAAGAATTTTGAAATAATGAGAAGAAAGTTCTCCAGCTGCCTAGTGCTAACCAATAAGCTGCATCAATGAGATATTCACAGGAGACTTGTGTTGGCTGGGGGAGGGGGGAGGAGAGAGAACCAGCTAAGCAGAAGGAAATTAATCTACTACATATGTGTTGACTGTGGGGGATGCACAATTCATGAGTCTCTGAGCAGCTGTGCCATGGAATTTTGCTATAGCAATGAGCCAGATTGAGCTCGTACGTCTGGGGATGGGGAATGTCTTAACAGGTGCATCATGGAACATTTTTATTAATGCACGTGTGTCTTGGGTTGGAAAAGGTTGGGAAACACTGGTCTAGCACAGTGATTCTCAACTTTCTAGTCTCAAGGCCCCTCCATAACATCTGTGAATTGAGTGACACCCAACTTCAAAAACTAATTTATAGATTACAGTGCTTGCCTCTTTGCAGAAGGGTCTGGCAGTGGTGATGAAGTTTTGTCCAGGCACAGATAAGCCAGAGCCTGCGCTTTCTGCTTAGTTTATCAACGTCTCCTCACAGCTCACTTATCTCCTCACACCTCATGACACCCTTCAAAAGATCTTGCCATACTAGGATGCCCTGGCATCCTGGTTAAAAATCATTGGTCTAGTAAATGGCCTAGATTTTTGCCTGCCTGGGCACAGACTGAAGATGTGCCAAACCCAACAAAAGCAAAGACAGGGCTCCAGATAGATTTACCTGCAGGGGTGTGGCAGACAGATGGGGAGTGCCAAACTCCACCATTGCAGCATTTTATTAGCTCTTATGTCATCCGGCTGAGCAGTTGCCCGGTGGCTGACATACAAGGGCTGCACTAAACTGGGAAGTTTAAAGAAGGCATGGACCTGGCAGAAGGAGAGAGAGTGGGAGACGGGGATGCCGGAAGGAGTCTGGTTCCCATGCTTACCCCTGGGAAAGGGCCTTGGGAGGAAAAGCCAGGGCAAAGAAGGGGCAGGGAGCCCCAGTTGAGCCAGGGATTCAAGGGACCTGCAGGGAAGGCCCTGAACTTGAAGGCATGCTGATTCAATACACCAGACCAGCCTGACCTGAGGTAAGGACAGGAGGAATCATTAAGACCAGGAAGACTTGGGGTGTATCCCCAGCCTGAGAGGCATTGGGCTCCTGGAAGTGGTTGGGCCTGAGAAAAAGGGCAACCCAGTTCATCCATAGGGACACATCATTTTGGGGATCATTACTTGCTTTGATTGTTTCCTGGCCTGGGTTCTGGTGAGATGATATCCCATTGATAGCAGTTGAGACACATCGCTAACCAAGAGAGTCACACGTACCTGGCAACAACGCGGCTGGAGTGTGGATGGGGTGTAGGCAAGGCAGAGCCCCACATCACTGTGACATCGCATCATGAGTAACCACATTGGGCACCCCAAATTACACCATTGACTCCTCCTTATCTTTATTGTAACAACTAAGGCATAGTGGGCGAGAGGGAGGTATCCCTTCCATGGGGAGACAGACCCTTCATGGAGGTCTATCCCTGTGACAACCAAGCTCTTTCTCAATGAGCCCATTTCAACCCTTTTTTACTGACACTCCAGAGAAGCTCCAAACACAGAACCATTCACAGACTGAGATGCTGCTTATACTGCTCTGCACCCCAAATCTTCACTATAAGAATGACAGGGCATGAAATCTGTTGGCACAGCACCAGGAGCCATGCAGAATTTGTGACCCAGCTATTCAGTCCCACTCTCCACTGATACCACAATAAAGCTAATGGGTTTTTATTGAGTTCTGATGAGCAGCTGTGCTGAGGGTGGGGGTGGAGTCCCATTACTCTGGTGAAATGACCAAGCCTGCTTTCCCGAGTGCTTCCTGGCAGAACCAGAGATGAGGAAATGTGTCTTGGTTTACACTTGCTAATCTGAAAAATCCTCTTGGCTTCAGGCTGCCTAGATTTTCCCTCCTGGTTCAGGGAAGGCCCCTGAACTGCAGGCCCCCTGACTCCCTGTTTCTATGTCTTCTTTCAACAAGAAGAGCCCCTGCTTTGTTGTTCTGTCCTTCTGAAAACTCATTAGGTATCTCCCAGGGGCCCCAGTGTTCTGTTCTGTTCTCTGGGTTGGTAGATTCTCCTTTTCCCATTGCTGCCCAGATTTCTGTCTGCCATGCTGCCTTTCTGTGGCCCATTAGCTGAGGGACGATTTTTTAACCATTTTGTGCTCCTTTGACTGTCTGCAGCATGTGCCTGGGTGAGTGTGTCTCTGAATTTGTGCCACAGCACTGGATCCAACCTGTGGGGCCTATAGCAGTTTGGCATTTACTGGAAGGGGAGAGGACAAGAGCGGAGGAGAAAGCAGTGAGGTGATGGCTTATCTAACCTGTCCCTTAGCTGGCTGCCCCCAAGTGTCAATGTCATTGTGGAGGGGTGCAGAGCGGGTCCTAAGTCCCACAAATCCTTAGTACTGAGGGTCTTTCTCTGCGAATGGCCACCAGTCTCTTTGATTAGACACATGCCATTGAGCCCAGTGCTCACTAGAGCCTCTTCCGTGCCCTCTGCAACCCCTCACAGATGGCAGCAGGCACTGATTCACCCTTCTTCTGCACCCTGCAGCACTATTACACCTGGGCAAAGCAAGTTCTGCAATCTGGGGACATTTCACACCCCCTTGCACTCTGCTCTCCTCTTGGTCCTTGGCTGCAACCCTGGTCATGGGGCATTCCTATCCCCCAGTAACTGGCAGATCTGATTGTGGTTCCTGCTTTCTCTTTGGGGAGAGGCTCTCTTGACAGAGATGATGAAACAGCTCCTTCTCCTACTGTCAGATGCTTTCCTAGACCCCTCCTTCCCCCCCCCCCCACTGCTGTGCAGTTGAAGCTTGGAAGCTAGGGTAGTCATTTTGCATAGGGAATATCCTTAAATCCTTATTGAAGTATTGCATTTGGAGACAATCCAAGAGCTTCAGGTAGACCAGAAGCTGGCAATTTAAAGTCCACAGGCAAGATCTGGCTTGTGAAGCCATTTTATCTGGCCCATGGAGTTGAGGAACTTCTTCAGTGATTTCATGGCAAGGGTCTTTGGTGGTGACTCAATGTGGGGAGTGTTGCCTGGGTGGTGGAGAGAA